TATAATGAAATATGGGACTCATTTATACAAAATACAGTAGGTTAAAAAAAAATGATAGTCATATAAATCTATTAGAAATATATATGTACTTCAATAATATTTGTATTAGATAAGGATATATAGAATAGTATTTGTTTATTGTTATAATGATATATTAACACTTTTTTTCTCTGCTGTATTTTTTTCACTTTTTTGTTAATGCACTTTTATGTATTTTTTTCTTCTTTTGTAATAATTTTTTTTTAATAAAACACATTGCCTAATGACAAAGTTGCCGGTCCCAGTTGTGGTTGTCAAATGAGGACTACTTGTACTGCGATTCTTTTAGTGTATTACAAAACATTGTGTTTTATATTATTATTCTTTTTTAGTATTGGGAACCTCCAAGAGTGTTTTATGAAAGGAGAGATCATGAGATTGCCCACACACACTCCAGACAGCCACTCCTCATGAGTAGACCACAGGAACTGAGGTTTTTGTGGTTGGTTTATGAGTTGAGTGACTGGGTGTCAAGGGATTCCATCTAAGCTCACAGTCGTAACACAACCTTTCTGGACAAAAAGCTCGACTGAGCTTCATTTCTTAATCACCTTTAGAATTATTTTTTACTGCTTTTGAAATATTAAGAACCTTTGGAACAGCAAGTTTTTAATCACATTCACTGGGTGAATCTCCTTCTCCTTAGCGAAAGAAATTTTAAATAAGACTTTAAGGACTCAGAAAAATATTACTTTTTGGAATAAACAGCAAAAGGATGTTTAGAGTGTCGATTTTGGAAAGTTAAAAATGGACTAAGGGTCCAGATGGATTTGGAATAAAAATTTGAAATTAATTATGAAAGTCCTTCCCATGGGAAACTGTTGTTGTTTGGGTTCTTTGGGGAAAAAAAAACATGATCAGATGGGACTTTGAAGGTTGGACGCTAGAGGGAACTAGAAGAAACTAGAGATTATAATTAAAGGAGAAGAATACTTAAATTCGACTTGTTAACAAAGACTGGAGCAAAATACTTTAACAGTGGATGTCTTGAAGGATAATTTTGAACAATGGACTCAGAAATTAATTTTAAGAATGTCTGACACCATAGATAGATGTTGTGTTAATGATGTCACAGAAGAGGAACAAGCTATACTGGATAAGACTGAAAT